GTTTATTTATTTAAAATACTAACATTTAAGTTAATTACTAATTTAGTTATTAATTTAATTTATATTTGCTATTTACCCTAAATTCAATGGACCAAATCACTAGAATATTTGTTATGGAAAAAAATCGATAATTTACAATATTTTAATCTAGTTACTTCTTGAGTTGCAAGTGATATGTCTATTTGCATTACTACTTTTTGAAAATAATTTGACTATCCTATAAAAAAATGTTAAAATTATTGAATTGCCAATTGGTATATAGTGTTCAATTTAGAGAAAGTTGACTCATAAAGAATATTTCAAATAGTAGATATTCAATAGCTAATTGGGACACTGTCTCAATGCCAAAAGGTGCTAGGGGACTTGGAATGAGAAAAGCCAAAGACAAAAATACTGTCATTATTACTGGCCTCACTTGGAGACTATCTAGCCATCCATCCGCCACTTGGGCGAAAGTTCTAACCTTCAAATATGTTGGTAGATACTCTAAGAACACTCATTCCTTTATCTGGAGTAATATCCTCATGGGTTGGAAAATTTGCGAACAAGCCATTGTTTGGAATATCGGAAATGGCAAGAACATTGACTTCTAGTATGCAAATTGGCTACGTTGCACTAAAAACCTGCGTAGCATGATTCAAGGGCCCCTCTCAAACAATGATTTACAACTCAAAGTTTGGAATATTAAAACAAATGACACATGGGACTTGTCAAACCTCTCTTTAGAACTTTCACCCCATATCTCAAACGAAGTACTCTCCTTACAAACAACCAATGGTTATAATAACATTGATATACCAATGTGGGCCCCTACCATAGATGGTATATTCACCACCAAATACGTTTACCCCCTTATATCTCCCAATATAGTACTAAATCAAAGCAAAGACTTCAAATGGCTTTGGAAGTTAAAAATTTGGAATAAGATCAAGTATTTCTTATGGCAATGCTACCATGATCGATTACCCACCAAAAGCTACCTAAGTCATAGTGGTATTAGTATATCAATATACTGCTCCATTTGTAATTTAGTAGAAGAATCGCCCCAACATATCTTTCTCTTCTGCCCCATGGCCACCTCCTTATGGTAAGAGCTGGGCATTAACACACAATCACTAGACATACAAAATACCCATTGGCTCGAAGCTCTCTATAAAAGTGACCCACGGGTTAATTATCACTCCTTAACTTGGAACTGCCTCTTCTCCTTTGCAATTTGACACTTGTGGTTGAATAGGAATAGGAACACTTTCTACAGACTTTGCCAACCTCTTAATCGAAACCTTGTAATCTCTAGAAGCCTTGAATACCTCCATTGTAGTAACATCACTTGTCGTAACCTAGACAGACCCCTAACAGTACTACCTAAGTGGGACCCTCATTCCATGAACCAAATAAAGCTTAGTATTGACGGGGCTTTTGCAGGTAAGTTTAAGTAAGTGAGAGTATTTCGAGATAATAATGGGGATTGGATAATGAGATTTAGTAAAACCAGTTATGGTCATCTCCACTATCCATGGAACTACAGGCATTATGCTATGGATTGTAACTAGCAAACGATCATAACTTGACAAACCTTCAAATTGAAACGAACTCAACATCCGTACCAACCCTACTTGAAACTTTAAATTATCCACCCTATAATGCACTAATCTCTGATTGCAGGTACTGGTTGAGGAGGTTTGGGAATCCACCAATCCAACATAACTTCCTAGAAGGAAACAAAGTAGCACATGAATTAGCACAACAAGGAGTCAAGCAAGCCAACGTCTACTATTCTCAAGTATATTCATCCGTACCAGAATTTCTAATGGATGCAATCCAAGCTGATAAGGAAGGCATCACTACTACTAGGATCAATACCACCAACGTTGTTGTTTCAAATAATTTGGCTATGCTTGAAAACTCTGCTATGACATCTTTTGGCTGTAATAGTGCTAGTACTAGTACAAATAAGTCTGATCCCAATGGGAGGACAATGTACGGTAGGAGTGGCAAATGGGTGGGTTGGGTCGGATATGGTTCGGATCGAAAATGAGTAATGAAAAAACGGATAAACTATCCGACCCGATCCATATTTTATACATAGGAGTGGCAAACAGACGGGTCGGGTCGGATATGGTTAGGGGAAAAAGCGGATAATGAAAAAATAGATAAATTATCTGATCCGACCCATATTTAATATGGATAAAAAACGGGTTAACCGGCGGATAATATGGGTAACCATATTATCCATGAGTTCTTGAATATGATCACTTTTGGGAAAATTTCTAGTCTCTCAAACTTGAGGAACCCCCAATTTGAAGCTTTGCAAATGTAAAAGTTAAACTCATTGGTTATCCATTGGTTACCCATTGGTTATCCATTTTCTAAATGGATAATATGGTTCTTATCCATATTTGACCCGTCTTTAAAAAGTTCATTATCCAACCCATTTTTTAGTGGATAATATGGGTGGTTAACTGTTTTCTTTTAATCATTTTGCCACCACTATTTATACGGATAAAAAACGGGTTAACCGACGGATAATATGGGTAACCATATTATCCATGACTTCTTGCATATGATCACTTTTGGGAGAATTCTTAGTCTCCCTAACTTGAGCAACTCTCAATTTGAGACTTTACAAATATAAAAGCTAGACCCATTGGTTATCCATTGGTTACCCATTGGTTATCCACTTTCTAAATGGATAATATTGTTCTTATCCATAATTGATCCGTTTTTAAATAGTTCATTATACAACCCATTTTTTAGTGGATAATATGGATGGTTAACTATTTTCATTTAACCATTTTGCCGCCCCTAATGTACGATTACTCTTCTAACTAGTTGTTAATAAACTATCTTTTATTGCCAAAAACAAATAGCTAATTTAGGCAAAGCACTCCTAAGCAGTTAAATATTTTGCAAAATTTCTCTTTATACTTGAGAATATTGATTAAAAATTAAAATTGTTTTACAGGTATGCTCAATGACAATATCAATTAAAATAGTACCGCTATAATATTAGAATATCCTTCTCTCATAACAATTTTAATTGTAAGAAGTGAGGCGTTGAACTTTGACCGTTAAGTGACTATTTTGGACCAAACTGTCCTTGAATCAGTCATTTGTATCAATTCATGACTGTTATTAAATTGAAGAAATGGAATTGATATGGAATCAATTCATATGCATTTTTGAAGAAGCTGCACATTCTAACTTCGGGGTTATTTAGGTAACTTTATTAAATTTTAAGAAATAAAGAAAATCTTCTAATACATATTCAAAATACCCTCACAGTTTGTAATTTTAAACGTGCAGTGAAATTTTTATAACTATAGAAATATGTCAATACAAATAAAATAAGAAGTTTAAAATTAAAGTATTTTATTACTTAGAATGATGTCATTTTTTACAACGGATTAAAAGAGAGAGTATGCCACACAAATGACATCATTCTACATAATGAAACTAGTGGCAAATGGATACCTTTGAAATTTTTTGTTGTGCATAAGTACTCTAAAAAGGCTCATTTCAATGGTTGCAAATGCCATTCCTTAATTTCCTCAAAACAGTTATAACTTTCCCTTTATATTCCAACATCTTCCAACTTTATTAACTACCAACAACAAAGAAAGAAACTCCAAACTCCCCCAGCTTGTCAAGCAAATATAAAAAGTTTGACAAATATGGACAGAAAATTTCTTGCATTTTCTGTCCTAACAATCTTGGTTTGTTCTCTCCTTGTTAATGGCCAGGACCAAAAAAATAATGCAGTAACAAGCCAAAATCCAACACCAAAAGTGGTGTCAGGGACAAAAGATGGAGGAGAAATAAATCATGAAGATGATGATGATGCTGGGATTGATTCACTCAACAGAAATTTCTATGAGAATGAAGAGTTTGGACCAGAGATCTTTGTTGCTGGTCATTAATTGATTCAGTTGTTCCCTTTTCTTTTTTCTTTCTTTTTTCGACGTGAAACATAGATTAAAATTTTGAAATAAATAACCAATTGAATTTTTCGGATTGTAATCATGCGTGACATTCTCTGCTTGTTACTACTGATTTCTTTTCATCTTTCCTTGAGCCGAGTGTATATCAAAAACAACATTTCTATCTTTTAGGTAGGGTAAAGGTATGCGTGCACACTACAATCATTAGACTCCACTTATGAAATTATACTGAGTTTATTATTGTTGTTTTTAATGATGCTTGTCATTCCGTTTATTTGGACGGCATAAAGGGAAATAAAGAGAGAAGGAATTGGGGTATGATTATTGTCACTTAATTCCAATTAGATTCCTAGTAAATTAAGTAGTTAAATACATCTAAAGGAGAAATAATATGAATTGGTTTCAAGTATCTCATTTTTTTTTGTCGACGTACACTTGAACGAGAAAAATGTTAATTCCCATAAACGACAATTTAAAATAAGAAGTGAAAATGATACACACTTCTATGATATACATATGGGAAGAACTGAAAATGTTTAAATAGTTTAAACAAAGTGTAATGCCATCACCCGAGGCGGATTTAGGGGGCACCCGAACCCCCATAAGGCAAATTTTGTTTTTTTCTTTTATATATTATATTTTGAATCTCCTTGACATAGCTCATAAGCATAGCTTAATGGTCAAGAAGGTTTTAAACCTTTGTAAGGTCAGTGGTTTGATTTCCACTTGCCACAGTATTGTCGGAAATATCCTGCGTCCGCCACTGGCCATCACAAAGTGATACAAAAAATTTGTGCTGAAAAATGATATTAGGGGAAGTTGAAATTCTTTTCTTTTAATTCTTATCAATAAAGAACTTGGCATTTGAGACTCTAAATGTCATTATTTTCATTCTATTGATATTGTAGCACTTCTTTTCTAACATCTTTGTATGGAGGAAATAATGAGAGACACTAAGAGTATTTCTAAAGATTTGAGCAGATAAAATATAGACATGTATTGCGTAGAAATGGTTGAGTAGGTTTTTTGGAGTCTAAAACTATACTTAACACAAGCATGTGAAGCAACTGCTCAGCAGAAGACTTGGTATAAAAGGAAAATGTTAACAAATTTCACCTACCTTTGCCGTAATTTAACAGTCATTTTCTACACAAAATCTATTAGTAAGGAACCACACGAAAGCTTTAATATCTCGTACAGATTAGGCAAGAGTTACTTGGATTTCCTGAATAACGAGTCCATTTTATGGCACCTTAAGTTACAGGGATGTCAAACTCTACATCTAGTGATGTATAAAGCACTTACTCCCACTTTACATCCAAACTTCTGAAAAACTGTCTCTTGACATCAGCAGCTGGCATAACTTTCTGAATACTCGTTGAAGTTGAGGGATTTTCACAAGGCAAAACGCACGTAGTATCACGAACCATCCATCGTGATGTCGCTACCATTTGGATTTTGGTTGGCACTCAGAGGGCTTTGTGAGACGTTACCCTGATTATGAGCAGCTCCAAAAGTGAATTCCTGTGTAGGAATGTCAAAACCAGGACGGGCAAAAAGTGAAGGAGCACTAGAATTATTGAAGGCTGGAGCAGGAATGGGGTCGCTGGGCTTTGGGAAGCCAAAGTTGAAGGATGTCACATGAGAAGGGAAGGCTGGCATGACGAGGCAGGGCTGGTTCTCAAGTGACACCAAGATCTTTTGCTCGTACTCCTGTAGCTGCTGGTAGACCTCTGTAGACATAAAGAAAAGAAGGTGTCAGAGAGACACAAAGCTAGAAGTAAACTTTTTTACTAATATCAGCTTCAAAGAGCAGCCACAGCCCAAGTGAAGAAAGAAACACCAACACAAAGGTTAACGGGCTCTGATTCTAATTCTAGAAGTCACAACGCTTGCACTCATAATGACTTAACTGCATTAGCTTGGTCACAGTTTATTCCACCAACTATGCACTAATGTTGTGCAGTTTTTCCCATCCCTATTTTTTCAATTTACCATTCAAGTATGAAAATAGCATCCAAAATCAAGATCAACTATCCGACCTCTTTAACTATATGCATACCAGGGTTTGTCATCTCACAGATGCATTTCGCAGAATGTGTAGAGTTAGTAGCTTAATATTTTAGCTTTTCAACTGTAAAATGTAAGAGGAGAAATCCTTATAAAGATAGCAGACCTTGAGTTAGGTCAACAGAAGGTCTTCGCTCTTTCACCCACTGAAGGCTCTGTGCAAGGTTCCATCTTTTACTTTTCATCAAATAAGCAATTACAATGGCTGCCGACCTATCAAAAAAGCACAAGTCTATTGAGTCTTACATATAAAAACCTCGCACAAACCAAAATGGTGGTTTCTGCAAGTACAATCAATTGAAAGCCACTCCAGAAAACTGCTATAAAAGTTTACTGCATTTATCATTCTCAGTGAAAAAATATTATGTTTTAGCACGAAAAGTTGTTTAAGTTTCTGAGAGGAAGCTGAAAAAAGAGCACAAGTTTCACATCTGTACCTTAATTGTGGAAAACCACAAAGGGAGAACAAGAAAATGGAAGAGAAAAGGATAAAGCACAACACGAAAGAAAAAAGGCAAAATGTAAAAAGGTTTATGTGCAAAATTAATAATCAATCTCCTTACCTGTTTTTGCCTAACATGCAGTGCACAAGAACGCGAGCCCTATCCTTTTCACATTGTTCTGCACAAAAAGAAATATTCTCAGATTAGCCAGCACAATGCCTCCAAAAAAACATGAAAGATCACTGGAGTACAAGCTTGAGGTCATAAGCATGATTTCTACTGTAGCAGTCAAGGCCGACGTTAGTAATGATGCAACAGCTAGAGACATGTAAAGGAGGCTTGAGTTGAAACATATTAAATGCTGTCATGTGGAAATGCATGTATAAAGAACCTTACTAGAATGTTCAAAAACAAGAAAAACAAGATCGTCTCTCCAGGTGAACCTGTTGTAAAAGAATCTGTGATGATCAAACATTACATGGCTCAACATTCAACTAGAGAAAGCTACCATTCAATGTCGAGCAGAGGATAAAACTCAACCTAATACAGTTATAGTAGTTTAACCCACTGTGGTTTTTTGTACCTTCAGAGGCAGATGGAAGATGAACTAAAGAGGCAAAGCAGTGGATGTAAATACAAAAGAAGAAGGTTATAGATGAGGAAGTGAACCCGGAAGCTGGTTCACAATCTCATGGAAAGCAAGAGGATATACCTTCGTGGGGTCGTTTGGTTTGTGGGATAAGGGATAACAATCCCGGATAAAATACGGAATTATTTTATCCCGTGTTTGGTTACTTTTGATTTCGGGATTAGCCGGAATTATTTATACCATAATTGTTGTATTATTTTTATTCATATGGTGAAGAATACTCCATTAGACAACATTACAGCCCAAAAATCAAATTTTACAATGTCAACAAAATTGTTTGGTGATAGATTATTAGTTTGTCAGACCAGCAATGCCATGTGAGAGTGAATGTTGAGCTTCAAAATCCAACATATCCACAAGACAAGTGTCGTGGAAACGCGAATGTTAAAATGGATGTGTGATCATACAAGATTAAATACAACCATATTCGGCAAAAAGTGCAAGTAGCACCAATGATGGATTAAATGAGAGAATGTCCCTTAAGATGATTTGGTCATGTCCTACGTCGACCTGCATATGCACTGGCATCGGTCCATACGTGTAAAATCTTGGAGATTGAAGGTGTTAAAAGGGAACGAGGTAGGCCTAAAATCACATGGAATGAAATTGTCTACAGACCTACAACATCTTGGAATTCATGCAGAGCTAACAAAAATAGGGCACAATGAAAAGAAAAGATCTATATAGACGATACAAATTATTTGGGATAAGATTTCAGTCATCTTAGTACATTACTTTAGGTCCAATGTTCGCTAAGAGTCTTATAGCCTTGTCTGCGATTTATGTGCCAGAAAAAAATGTGGAAAACTTCTAGTGTTAGACAGCTAGAGAAACTAATAATAATATTGGACAAAGACATGCTTAAATGGAATGACATGGACAATGATGATTCATATAACCAACCCCAACTTTGGGATTGAGATATAGTTGTATGCATTATTAGTTGTTCACACAATTCAATCCTCACCCCATAATTTCCAATCAACTAGGTACCTAAAGAGGATTGCAACATCAAAATAATTGACCAAACTAAAGAACTACTTTAAAGAGAAAGGTCTCATAGAGATTACTACCTTTTCATTAAAAAAACAAAAGAAATGTCTCATAGATCTCCAAATCAAGCTTAGATGTACTAGGTTTAACAAAGTAAATAGAATGATACTCACCTAAGAATTGGATAGCATCATCAAATGGCAAATTTTGGTCATCTTGAAGACAATGATAAGTGAAGGAATTTTTATAAAGATTCTGACAAGCAGGTACTGTCTGCACATAGACAAACAAAAGTGAATACCCAGTGTCAACAATCAAGAACATGGGCCACAAAGAGCACATGAAAGTTTTGTCATTGAATAATTTCTGAAGTACCATAAAGAAAAAAGAAGCATCTAATACGATTCAAGAGAAAACTATATACTTTCCACTATGGTTTTATGGAGCCAAAAGCACATATATCTAGTTCGTTTAGCCGAGTCCATATGAAGGAGCAAAATACCATACAAATAAATATAGAAAGAAAGAAATGTTCTTAGTGAGACCAGCAACATTTATCTTGGGAAAAGGTTCAAATGTGTGGCATTACCAAAAACTAAAGACTTGCCATATTCGTTTTTTTTAGAAGAAAATAGGAAAAAATGGAAACACAAAAATCCACTCTTCCCAACCCTGCCCCTCCGCCACCGGAAAAAATCTCTCCCTGCGTGTGTATATGTGTGTATCTCTATCACGAACCAAAGAATCCTTTACATCCCCCCCTCTTTTCCATTTTGAGAACGAGAACAAACATGACCACTACACAAGGAGCACGTTCTTAAATCCCTCACATTCTTTCGTAGATCTCCTCTTATAGATAGTCTAAAGTACAATAGCTTCGTTTTGTTTACCCATCTGTTCATTTATTCATCCATCTTCTAATATCAAATTTAAAGAAAATGATGGGAGTTGTCTGATCAAATAAAAAATAACAAATAAAATGATAAAAGTTACTTCCCCCAGGTAAATAGAAAAATCATAATTTTTTAAAGAAACAGATCATCCATAGCCATAAAAGGCCTTTTAGCCACTGAACAAGTTCCGGATAGGATTTTCAAGGTCTCCTTTCGCACTGCTTCTATCTCCTACTGTAGAGTATCATTTAGCAAAATATTCGAAAGCCCTCCCCCTATCCCTTGGATCTAGTCCAAAGAATGACATGAATTTGGCTAGAGAAACCCTTTCCAAGTCAGGTACTGTCAACATTCAACATAACTATGTCTTCTAACATTTCGTCCACATTGAAAAGGCATTATCCCTAACCATGCTTTCCACTTCATAAACTTTAAGACCAACTGCAAGTGAACATTAGAATGGCAAGAGGAGAACTAGAATATTTCAGTTTGTTCTAGATGTAAATTAGAGAAAAAACAACCATGCGTACTAGAATGAGTAGGGAAGTAAATTAGCAATGTACATCTCTTTGTAACGTTTCAATTACATCTAACAGTCCAATCCCTAGATAACGTAGCTCAACTCAGTTGAGAATATAAAAAACCTATTAGATTCTCGTTATTATGTGATATAAATATTCAACTGCTAAGTTTCCCTAAGGAATTGCAGACTTCGCACCTAAGGGTGTGAACATGATTCGGATCCAACAGGCAACAGAGGGGAAAAAGCTAATTGACTCCTTTGCATCTACTAAGCCTCGGTGGGTACAATTACCCGATATCTTTATTGGTGAGAGGATGCATGTGCTCAGTGGAACAGTCGAGGTGTATGCAAGTTGGCTCGGAATCTCCATTATATATATGAAAAAATGGAACTGCAAACTTCACCTTTTCCTTCATTAATTAGTGACGCATGTAAGCTAATCAAGATCCCCAATCAATAATGACATGGAAGATATTGCCTAATGACAAGGGCCCTCCAACCATGATATGCTAGGAGTTCGAGTAACCAAGTGAGCAAAGTGGAAAAGGCCATTCTCAGGCTCCTAGTAGAGATTTTGATGCTAGGTTACCCTATAATTAAATAAATAAAAGAAAAAAGGTTCCCTATCGATAATGTACAGACAGATAAAAACAGGACACACTACGGCCAGTCAAGCAACAACAACAACTTGCTCCATTGTTCTAAATGGTTTTTGTTTTCTCCTTTTTTGGTATGTTAAAACTTACTTATTGAATAAAATGAAGGTGCAACAAAAAAAATCCAAGCTAATATGTTATGACTTATGATGGCATTTTATTTCCCTTCCCCTCTTGGCTATTCAGAGATAAACAGCAATTCCGCTTTTACAAGATTGGACCTATGTCACCATACTCCATAAGTAAAAGCACATTCACATGTGACAGCCATGACAATAACTGCTAAAGTTACAGAGACAACTTTAGCAAGTTCATACTATCTTGATCACTTCTATAGCCCTTGGTATGTTTTGCACATTATTGACTCATGACCTTTTGCCACCAGACAAACAATGCATCTGAAGATGGTCCAGCAGAAAATTTTATTATACGAGTACATTAAACATTGAAGTTTTCTCATGCACATGCTTAGACACGAGCTTAAGAAGATGTAATCCTATTAAGCAGCATTAAGCTTTCTGTCATCAAATACCGACAACCAATAAAAAGGGTTTTCAGAATCATTACTCATAACTGAGGATTTGAAGAACTATGAATTATAAATTACAGATCAAACCAAGCCCCCATGCAAACCCACAAGCATATACCTACAAAGAGAACTCCCAAACATTCACCTAGCACAGGCTGTCATCGGCTCACATTTGCATCCTTCCTTGGCTAAGTGGCAAAAACTATTTAGTTTTGATCTTTTATATAAGTGGTAAGCAATAAAATATTACAAACAGAAATATCCACAGATCCTTTCCTAGAGAAAAGGCTGGTACTCAAATGTAACGTGTGCTTTGTTAAAGAGAACTAATTCCTGGTTATTTCTGCAATTTTTAGCATTTCCTTCAAAGGGTTACAGTATCTGATAACTGAATGAAGTATATTTGGTACAAATTGTATTGACAAAAAATCATTGCTAGTTAGTACCTCATTTAAGATGAGGGTACATTTGCAAATTCACAAAGCTAAGAATGAAAAGAAACTAGATGCTCAAGTAAGAGAGGACCAATTTGCTTCTCTTCTGCACCTAGCTGACAGCATGTTTCTTTGTACCTAATGGTCCCTTATGAGATAATTCTTTCCACCCTTGCATTATTCCTATTGTCTACTCCTTCAAGAAGTATCCTCATAAGAAGGAAAGGTCATCTTTAACATTAAAATCACTACCCTAATTCCCTGAAACTTTAAAGCACCAAAGGCAAAGCTAGGTCTGAAACTTGTGAATGATTATCCAGACGGTATTAACCAGTAAGGAAGATTTCTTACATGATCCAAACAAAGGCATTGATAAGTATTGAAAAACAAAAGTGATAAACTCAATTCCCAGTCTCTCTCCCATCACTGGATCCTGTGAGAACGAGTCGTGGAAAGTTTAAGTGATGTTTGCTTCTTGGTTAATCAAATTATGGCAGAAGCTCTCCCATTTTTAAAACCGAAGGGGAGAGAGAGACATGGCAAAAGGTACTAAATGACCAAGAAGTTCGAGTAAGTTGCCGTCCTACTAGAGGCAAATCCAGTAGATCCAGCAAATAAGCAGCAGGTGCATTATGCAACCACTGCTTATAAGCCGACTATATGTGTGTATAAAAAGTTTAACCAAATTTTAATATGTAAGAATTCAGACCCTGCCTTTAAATCACCCCTATATCCTAGCTCCCTCTAGACAAAGTGTTAAGGAATTAAAGTCATTGACTTGAGTGATTTCATATCTTAAAAAGCTAATGCATGAAATACTGACTAGATCTCCAAATCCCTCAACCACACGCACACTCTTTTGATCAGAGAAAAAATGCCTAAGCAGAACAAGTCTACTGATTGCTACTTCACCCAAAACCGTTAAATATTTCAACTTTTGCTCCCAAAGCAATGTAATCATTCAATCAACAGACTAAGCCTCAACCCCATATTAGTTGGGTTATTTTTATATGAATCTTTTTCATCCATTCCGCTCTATTTAGGTCCGTTACATTCCAAAAGCAACTCAACTCAAAGAATTAACCATGGCTCAAAGCAACTATTCACAAATGACAAGAATCCAAGAAATACCCAAAAAACCAACAATAATAAATAACGAGTTTAAATACTATATTACTTACGCTATCAGGTACTCAGGTTACTTATTATAAGGTAGACTTTTTTTTTTTTGAATTGATAACGTTATTATAAGGTAGACTTTTGATAAGCATTAATTGATAATCTAATAAATATGGTAATTAGCCTAGTCATTGTATATAACTTAAATCAATAGTGACAAATTTGTGGAGTGTCAGTGTATAGTGTATACAAATTAAATCCAAAAGTGACAAATTTATTGAGGACAAATTAGTAAAAGAATACTACTAACATTGAGAATACGAGAAATCCCAAGAGTCTTGAGAAGCTCAGCGCGAGAAGCATTATCATAGCTACCCAAAAATAGAAACTCAGGCAAGATCTCAGAAGGGAACGCACTGACTTGAATCCCCTTTTCAGAAACAGCAGGCATTCGGTGCCCACAGATCCCACAAACTTCGCCTTCCTCATATTTGTGATAATGCCCACAAACACCACATGGATTTTCCCTTTCCCTTTTCCTCATAATATTGATTGATTTGTTTTGTGAACTAATTAGAATGAATGACCTATAGATGAGTAAAATAATTGATTTGAAGTAAAGTGGGTTTTGTGGATTTTTTTTATGGCGAAAGTGTACAGATCTTTGCCCAGTGTGCTTTTGGGTGATTTTGACTTGTATAGATTGCTATTTATAGATATCGGTAGTAATAAGTATAGTACGTATAGTTTTTGGACGGGATTTTGAGAGAGAGAGATCAGCACGTGATAGGTTGCAATTGCATAGACCGTAGCCAATAGGTAATAGTAGATGATATGGATAGAATCCTAAAACACTAATGTTAATATTTGGGTTATTTGTATCTTTTTTTATTTGTTGCCAGTATTACTTGAGATTAGGAAAATAATTCTAATATAAAATTTGATTTTTTTTTTTTTTTGGAAACCAAGAACACTCGCCGCGGCTACCCTTTCGAGTACACATTGGGTATCCTGCTTACTGTGCAATAGCTCGCAAACCGCACAGAAAATGTAAACCGCACTAAGCAAGTCCGATGCGACGAACTCTGACTGGGGAGACTATTGATGAGGGAAAAATAATTTTGATATAAAATTTTATATTGTTTATGTTATATTTGGTTGATATTTTGCTTTAGGTACAAGGAATATAGCTTATTGACCAGAACAGTTAATATGGCATTGGTTCGCAAATTCGAATTAGTCTAGCGCTTTATCTGATAAGGTTGGACTAAGATTTTTCGAACCTGTTTAAGATCAAGACGTTCCAAGTAAGTTCGTTGGTCTTTGAGGCTTGAACTCAATGAAAGAAAGCAAGGAACTAAAAGTAACAAGAATCAGGAGTTCAAACTCAAAGATTACTTACAACGCATTGAGGTCCTTTTGAGGAGCTTGTTTTGATTTTTAATAGATGGAATATTATCCCTTTTTTGTGTTTTCTTGTAATCTGTTAGTACTTAGTAAGCAATATTGGATAATTTAATTATGGACTTAAGATTTGGTTAGCAATTATCACGACTTAAAATCTGGCATCTAGGTGGCAGCAGGGAAAAGGGATACTATTAAAGCTATCTGATATATAAAAGAATGCGAAAATAAAAAACAAGTGTCAAACATCTCATAAACTCAATAATCGGCTAAGTCACAGAGCTACTAAATTTGAGTATAAAATATGGGACGCAACAAAGATTCAAAGATTATACTAAAGTATGTTAATAGATGTTTTCACAATCTAGTAGTGACTCACTTCAACTGGATATAACTGGTCAACGCTGAATTCATTAGTCAATAGCATACGCTCACGAACTGCGAAGAGTCTAAAAGACCTAGCAAATCATCAACTCACTTCCCTAGCTTACTTGTGAAACAAGTTTTTTAAAATACATAAATAAAGCAATCCAGGTATATAAATAATATACAAGTAAAGAAACTGAATCTGAAATCATGAATACAAATAATATAAGTAAACATGGCGGTGCTACGTGCCGAAGAACTTCTAAAAATGCTATGAGGCCATAATTATGCTTACGCAAGCTCAAGCTCAAATATGATATGATGAATAAGCCTAATCAAACTCAACCTGCTATCTATGAGGCCATGAGTCATTGGCCAAACTCAACCCACTATTAGAAATGTAATAATTGTCATGGACGACTTTCCATCCATGCCCCATCACCCCTTGGACGCGTCCCATGGTATCCTAGCAAGTCTCCCAATGCCTAGCGCTATGGACAGCCCAGTGGTCTTGGCCGCGCTAAGTGACAAGCGCGCATGTGCCTTGTCGCCCTACCGATAGTCCTCGCCAGCGCCCAGCTACAGGCAAATGCCAACAGCGCCGCGCGCGCAGATTTTGATGCTAAAGACAAGGTTGCTGCCAACGGACCTGCTTCTACCTTGTAAGAATCTAAGTCATTTTCATTATAAATATATAGTAATTTTACTTCCTATATTTCTATTATGTCTCTCTAGCTTAGTTAGGTCAAGTCCTATAACTTTGGTTTATTTTTTTAAGTATCATTAGGGGGGATCAAGCAGTCAAACTTTCAAGAAACAAACAATTCGCTGTACTGGTGTCTCTCCCCCTCGACACCGTATTGCCTTTCTGTAATAGCTTTCATTAATGTAATCAATCTTTCTTTCATTCTCAAATCTCTTTTCTATTCTCTCAATTGCTCTTGACGTTGGTTTTCACGTACGGCATTGACAGTCTCGTCTAGCTTACGGAGGGGACCTCAGTTGGCAGATAGTAACTGCATGGACACTGGTTGCTTAGCCTTACGTCACCCTTCCAAGGAATCTCAGGAAGGCGCCGCGTAACAGTTGGTATCAGAGCCTAGGCTCGACATCGTACGAGGGAACACATTGCCATTACCACTATTTCTGACCATGGTAAATCATGGGGACCGTATTGCGGCCCTTAAAGAGACTGTTAACGTATTACAACCTATCGTGAATATGGTGCCTGATCTAAGAACCCTACCTAGTTCAAAGGTTGGACGACCAGGACCGCAGAATGCAGCAAGCCGAATGTGACATCGCAACCATCAGTCACGACTCTAAAGGAGATCGGCAAGCGGCAACCACAGAGGTAGACAAAATTTTCGATAAATTCGAGGGCCTCCAATAGGAGAGGACCGAGGGTTTATCCTATAGGGCACAAGAGGCAGACAGAGTGACTTCCATGCAGCAAACCATAGATAACTTGACGGGCCAACTCAATGTTGTCAACGATGCCTTACAACGCCTGCTTCGAGGCGGCAGAAACCACATCGAGGGTGCTGTGAACCTTGCCCCTGTGCCACAAAAGCTGAAGACCCATAAGCTAAAACCCTACAATAGGGCTAGGAAGGCCAAGGAAGTGGATAACTTCATCTTCGACATCGAACAATATTTCGATATCGTGGGAGAGTTAGAAAAAGCAAAAAAGTTAGCAACTGCTGCCATGTATCTTCAGAGTGATGCTAAACTCTGGTGGCAGTGAAATGCGAAGCCATCAGGGCTGGTGAAGATACTCTTAATACTTGGGCAGACCTGAAGGCATCCATACGCTTATAGTTCTTCCCCGAAAATGTTGAATACAATGCGCGGAGAAAGTTACGAGAGCTCTTCCAGACCAAGTCAGTGCGGGATTACGTGTAGGAATTTTCCGCACTCATGTTAAACATACATGATATGGAGGACAAAGCCACTCTTCACATTCCTGAAAGGTTTGAAACCTTATGCACGTATGTAGCTGTAAAGACAAAGGGTAGACACTTTACCCATGGCGATCCAAGTAGCGAAATGCCTTGGGGACTATCAAGTGGAAGCTCGGAAGGATACACCTCAATCGCCTGTCTGTGGAGGATACAGAGGGGACCAGCCTAGAAATGGTGGTCCTATCATAAGTGGAGGAGATCGAAGTTCAACCAAATCTAAGACTCCTTTCTCAGGCAGCAATAGTGATACATCTCATAACAATGATCGGGGGAGGAAGCCCCCATCAGGATGCCATCATTGCGGAGGGCCACATTAGAACATTGAATGCCCACATGCAAAAATGAATGCCCATCAAACTTTTGATGATGTGACGGATGATGACACATATGATGCCGACCAGACAGAACCAATAGGTGCCTTCAACACACTTGTTTGTTCTATTTCTGAGGCCTTAGCAGGAACCAGTACCGGTATCCGTAAGAAGAAGGACCATATGCCCAACCACCAAGAAAGGGGAAAAGAAGGCGGGTGAGGGGTCTCCTCTTAACCAAGAGAAGACCTTGATGTTCATTGAAATAAAAGTTAATGGAAAGTCCATTCGGGCGATGATAGACACAGGTGCTACTCATAACTACTTAGCCTCAAATTAGGTAGAGCACCTTAGTCTAATTGTGGAAAAGGGCAGAGGTCGTGTAAATGCTATCAACTCATAGCCTTAGCCAGTGGGTGGAATAACCAAAATGGTGGCGGTAAGCTTGGTCCTTATGAAGGAAAATGCAACTTACGTGTGGTGATCATAGATGACTTCGAGTTGATAGTTGGATTGGAATTTATGAGGCAAACCAACACTATTTCTGCACCTTATGCATACATACTACTTATGATGGGAACAAATGGGGCCAAGCCCTGTATTATCCCATGCACAACCATAAAGATGGCCTCGGAGAATATCTCGGCCCTGCAATTGAAGAAGGGAGTCAAAAGACATGAATGTACGTTCCTGGCTACCCTCTGTATTGAATATATTGAACGCTCTCGGGTCCCATTCATGCACCCGTGAAAGAGCTGCTAAAGGATTTTGAAGACATAATGCCACAGGACATGCCAAAGCGACTCCCGCCTAGGCACACTGTGGACCGTGAGATTGAGTTGATGCCATGTGTCAAGCCACCTACCTGGGCGCCTTACAGAATGTTACAACCCGAACTCACCTAGCTTCGGAGAAAGCTGACGGAAATGCTGGACATGGGGATCATTGTGCCCTCGAATTCCCCTTATGGGTCCCCTATGTTGTTCCAAAAGAAACAAGATGGCACCTTACAACTCTGTGTGGATTATCGGGCCTTAAACAAAATCATCGTGAAGAACAAATACCCTATCCCACTAATGGCAGACCTGTTCGATAGACTGGGTGGTGCTACAGTGTTCACAAAAATAGACCTGAAGACATGTTACTGGCAAGTCCGGATTGCTAAGGGAGATAAACATAAGATGACATGTGTGACAAGATATGGGTCTTACGACTTCCTGGTCATGCCATTCGGCTTGACTAATGCTCTAGCCATATTTTGCACCCTGATGAATCAAGTCTTCCGAGAGTACATTGATGAATTCGTAGTGGTCTACTTGGACGACATTGTGGTATATAGCAAAACATTAGAGGAACACATGGAGCACCTGTGGAAGATCCTAGCCCGACTGTGGAAGCACGAATTATATGTGAAGCTATCCAAGTGCTCCTTCGCCCAAAAACAGATTGACTTCCTCGGAGATGTCATCGAGGATAGGCGAATAAAGATGGACCAACATAAGATTCAGGTTGTCACAGATTGGCCGCCGCCTAAGGATATCCACATCTTGAGGGCGTTTCTTGGCCTATGCAATTTTTATCGGCGGGTTATGAAGAATAACTCTCTCATTGGAGTGTCGTTGACAGAACTCCTAAAGAAAGCTAAGCCTTGGGAACGGGGTCCTAGGCGAG